TATATATATAAGAAAAATTAATGCCAAACCAGTACTGAAGTTCAGCAATGGAGTTCAGAATAAACTATTACCAGCAAGCCAGGCAACATAAAAGCTCAAATTTTCTTCCAGAAATTATTCACCGTTACATCATCAACATTAGCATCACCTACTCCCCAGAAAGCAAATAGCAACTGATTTATATGGCATAACTAGAAATACAGCCAACATGGAATGAACAAATTGCCATCTTTCTTGCTTAGAAAAATGTATGAAGAATGAAACTGCTCTGAAAATAAAGGAAATTACTAAGGCCTTGGTTCTGCTGATCTTTGTGTAATGTGGAACAAGGAGTGGAAAGCCGCTGTCTGCAGAGTAAACATATGCTTAAGCACATCTGAAATTAGATGTCAGACATATGTTCTGCTGCCCAATTACTGTCAAACAGGCAAAGCAGAAATGAATGGGGTGTAGACTCTGGGTATGTCAGAAAGTCTTAAGAATGATACTCATCAAATTAATAAGAGTATTACTCCTTTCCTTGGCCTTGTATCTGCCTCTGTGACATGGCAGTTGAACACTGAAGACTGGTGCTCTTATTAGTGCAAAATCAGTTAAGAATGCATTTCCTCAATGTCCTTGAGCATGTATAGATGTTCCATGTAAAAGCAAGCCCTAAGTGCCAGATTTTCAAAAGAGATCAGGTACTTAAATAAGTGGCTAGACCATGCGGAGTGCCATCACCATAAAAAAAAAAGTAAAGGACAAAAGTAAGGATAACCATGAAATATACTCACTTTCAAGTTCAATCTGTAAAAGGAAATACAATGTATGAAGAAAAAGGCTAGCTTGCTATGCCCTCCTCTACAGTTCACATCTTCTAAGGACCCTAGTGCAAAAAAACCTTTAAGGAACATTTCATTTGCTTGAACTCATCTGACCTTTTCTTTATTACTATTGTCTGGCCCAGCACAGGCTTACTTTGTTTTTTCTGGGATCTGACAGGTGGGATTTTTTCCCTTAATTAAGGATTCCCTGCCATCCCTCTCTCCCCCCTCACTTTCTGGAGGCTTTGTTTCTAATTCTTTATTTTTGGATATTACTTTTTTAAATGCATTCAATATGTTTTCAGCTGCTATTATAATATTCTGGTTGTCATATTTCCAAGCTGAATGCATGTTTCCTAGGAGAAATACAATGAAAGTATAACTGTGATGGTTACAACAATAAAATAGTAAAAAACAGTAGATCTCTCCAAAAGTTTTATAGGCTCACAAATTTGAAAATGGATGAGGAACTAGGAAGATTTAAAGCTACTGGAGTAAATCATATCACTTGATTTCTCAGACAGCATCAGTCATCCAAGCTGAACCATTCTAAAACTGAAATCAAACAAACAATTTTAGATTATTCTACCTGGCACCTGTCCAAAACCTGATTTTCTGTTTAGCAAAATGCTCTTTTCACACTTAACCAACAGTTTAAAAAGGCTTATTAGCCACTTTCTACAATATCCTCCATTTTAAAAGGTATTTTCTTGAAAGAGGACTGAACATATGTGGCTTTATAGGAAAATTTTATTTTTTTTTATATTTCTTTGTTTATTTAGATTTTGCTCTACTACAAGCTCCACACCAAAGGGAGCTCTGGGTGATGCATATTTAAAAACAGGTAAGTGAAAGCAACAGAATTTTTCCCTCCTACTCTTCTTGTGTCAGCAGGTAACATCAGTCCTGGGATTCTTGCAGTCTAAGGGTGCTTGTACATGCCACAGGGGTTTAATTTGGTTTAGTTCTCCCTAAAATGAAACGGTGGGTTTTTAAAAACCCACCGTTTCAATTTAGAGAGAATTAAACTGAACTAAACCCCTGTGGTGTGTACACAAAGGCAGGGGCCTGATCCTTAGAGCTTACCTGTCTCCCTGGTGGTAGGGGGGAGCTGCCAGTGGGCTGAGTAGTTCCTGAGCTGCACCGGGGCCCAGTGCTTCCCTCTGCGGTGGCAGCACCCCCACAGGTGGCACCTGCCCGTTGGCACCCAACCTGGGGGCACCAAAGCTGCAGAGGGAAGCACTGGCCACCCCACAGCCACAGAGGGAAGCACCAGGCCCATGTGCAGCTCAGGCAGGCAGGCTCCGGGAAGGAAAAAAAAAAAGGAGCAAGCTGCTTGCTGCTTTTTTTGTTTGTTTGTTTGTTTGTTTGGTCAGTCAAGCCTGCCTGCATGGGCTGCCGCTGGGTTGCACAGCTCCTGAGGTGTGCAGGGCCCGGTGTTTCCCTCTGCGGCTGCGGCATCCCCCGGGCCGGGTGCCAGTGGGTAGCACTCTGTTAGGAAGTAAACTAAAACACCTCGGAGGTATTTTATCTTGCTACATTACAAAGTCATTTAGAGTGGAATACACCACCAAGCGTCCAAACAGCAACACCATTAAAGAGGTGCTAAAAGGCATTTAAGCTGCTTTAAAGGCCAATTTTGTGGTGTGTACAAAGGCCCTAACACACCCTCTAAACCAGCAATTCTCACCCAGAGTGCTGCAGCAAAGTGGGGTGCGTTGAGATCTTTTCAAGGGTGCTGCAGAGTACCATGCAACATTAGCACTATTAAGTGTGCAAAAATGATTCATAAGATAAACCCAGAGATTTCAAATAAGAATCCATAGTGTTAAAATCATTCCAATCTGTCATGATGTTCCTGATTTCTTTGCAGCAGACAAAAAAAAAAATGAAAACTAAGAGCTAGCATTTTCTGAAGGGTGCCTTGAGTCTAACTAGGGGTGCCTGGGGTCTGACAAGTTTGAGAACCACTGCACTAATCAAGCCCCACTCTCAACTTCTGCTTCATAGCCCTTCTCCAACATCCATACAAAGAGAGGGGCTTTGTAGTATGTCCCACAGGTCAACAAATAGACTATTTCAGATCCTAGGGGGGAAAGAGCTGCAAAAGAAAGAACTGCATGGAGAATGCTTTTACAAGGGGTAGATGAAACTCAAAGTCTTTTTCTGATCCTAACTGTAGTAGTGCATCATAGGGAGTGAGAATCTCCTAGACAGGTGGACCCCAGGCCAGGTTTTATGTATCCAAACCATGAAACTACACTTGGAAAACAGCAGATGTCCCAATCAGATTACAGGATACTTCCTGAAGCTGCCAGATGTAACTTGGACCAGCTTCAACTTCAGATAGAAAGTAATAAACTTGTAGAACAAGGGTGGGCAACCTACAGCCCACAGGCCGGATCTGGCCCAAAAAGAGCTTGGATCTGGTCCAAAAAGGTCTATCCAGCCTGGGGCAACTCACGAATTGAGTGGCGCACAGCTGTGACAAACTGCCAGTCCCCTCCATAGCACTCTCCTCAGCAGATCTCCCTGCTACTCCCCTCACCTGCCTATGCTTACTTTGCTGCAGAGGGCCTAGATATCTACAGTGAGTGTAAGCACAGGCAGCTAGAGATCTCAGGGTAGGTGGAAGGGTGGATTTGTGGCCTGTGGCAGGAATCCAGCTTACAAGTTCTGGCCCAGCACAGTAAAATGATGCCAACTCCTTTAGAGAAAATCTAAAACAGGCCTAAACCAACACAGGTCTGTGTGGAATAAATAGACTATGAGGCATGGAGAGACTGTGTCCACTGCTCTTCCACTGACACACAAGTACTGGCCTTGATGCAAAAGCATCCCATGCTGTACTTCCAGGCTGGGAGCAAGAAAGACAATTCCCAAGTCTTTGACAATTCTGAGGGACAGAGGACTTTGCCACAAGATTCGCCAGGATTTGGCAGAAAACTATAAAATGTAAAGTTAACCCTAACTGAGGGATCAAAAACCTCCCCTCACACACCTGTAATTGCTGCATTACGTGCTAGCAGGAAGAATAATGTGCTCCTTTCTCTGAAAGTACTGAGTTACTATGCTTGAACATGAAACCCTCAGCTTTTCCAAGCCACATACAAGACATTTTTTCTTGTCTCTCAGAAACCAATTCAAGAAAGGTTAGTAGAAACATTAATAATGAAACCGGTCAGTGCAAATTAATGTTTTTCAGTCATAGAGGTTCAAGTATTTTAAAGTTTTTCTTCTTTGCTCAGAACATTAGTTTCCTCCACTGACAAAAAACTGAAGTCCAAGTACTTGCCTTCACTGCAGTTTCAGCTCAAGTTATCTACACAAGAATTGTGCTAGCTTAGCTTGAGGGGGGAACAGTCAAGCAGAGACAATCTTCACAGAATGATCTGACTAGAATCACAAAGTTGTTAACTTCCCGTTGCATTACTACTCTACACTCCCAACTTATCCTCAGTTTAAATCATTGGTTAATATAAGATAGAGATTTTTGTAAATGGATAAGAGTAAGCTTAGGAGCTACACATACTTCAGCCAAAACGGCAACAAAAAAAAGCCTTACAGGTGTCCATTTTTGAAGTAGGGGTTAACTCTTCCCTAAACCAGCACACACTGTTTTGTACTAGACATCATGGACTAAAAAATACCTTTCAAGACACAAAGCACTTGAGGGCTGCATCCAGACAAGCATGGCTGTGTGGTATGTGGTGCTACAGACTCATCTGCAGCACCACATACCACACCTTCAGCTATTCTCCATGCTGCAAGGGAGCAGCACAGGAGGGAAAGGCGGGTTGACCACCGGCAGCGTGTGCCGCTCAAAACCAGAGCATGGCTGGTTGGAGCTGCACTGCAGCTGCCAGCCAGGCTCCAAGTGGCAAGATCATTGCTGTTGCAGCCCTGGGAGGCCTCCAGGACCCCAGGTCAGGTTGCTGGGGCCAGCCCAGTGCTGCCCTAGCCTCCCTTACCCCACCCGGGGTAACTTGGTGCGCACCAAAGCACGCGTGGCACAGGCGCACAAGGTGCGCCATCACTAGTTGTTCCCAGGGAACCAAATATCCACGTTTCTCTGGATGCAGCCCAGAACTCACAGGTACAACACCCTTTCACACTCCTTCTGCCATTATTTTAAAGTGTACAAAAACATGAAGGCAGCTATATTGCTAGAGGAGGAGACGACCTTGCTCTTACCTAAACACACTCGACCTGTTCCATCCAGTGTCAGGCCTTCAGGACACTCACAGTGAAATGACCCTCTGCTGTTAACACACCGTCCATTAGGACAAACCCCCGGGAAAACATCGCATTCATTTACATCTGTTGTGAAATAAAATACAGAGAGACATTTAAGGGAGTATACTTGTTTTTCAAGATATCCATGCCTTTACTGGTTTGTAAGACCTTACTGAGATTTTAAAGTTATGTGAAGGTAATCAGAAGATTTTCATGTATACAGTATTAGGATCTGAAGACTCTTCTGGGTTACATTTGGCTGATAATAGCCCCAATCCTTACCTTGTATAGAGATAGCCAAGCCATAGTCCCTTTTCCAGGGATGATCCACTGCACTAAGCAGGGGTGAGTAAAGGCATGAGTATTCTACTTATATATAGAAGGAACCTTGAAGGACATGGATATATCAGATTTCTAAGTTGCTCTGTGTCTTTATTATAGAGATTTCCTTGATTTCCTACAATGTCTTAGAGTAGGGTGGTGCTTTCTAAATGCCTTTACTGCCTGTGATGGCAATCATGACATGTTAATGTGCTTAAAACCTCCAATAACAAAAAAGCAAGAAATTCCCTTTATCCCATTTTTAGCAAAAAAGTGCAGGTATTGAATAAGAAAAAATAACTTCACCTTCACAGGTAACACCCTTAACTCTGGCAAATCCTCTTGGGCAAGCAGTGTCTGGAAACAAAACCAATACATCATTGATTTGGAATGATAGAGCTGCACAATATTATAGAATCGTAACAGTTAATAAGGGGGAAAGGTACTTTTTCTTTGTAACTTTTCTCCACTGGATCCCTAATAGCTTGTGAGGTGCTGCGTGCTTTGACTCTAATCCAGAAATGCACTGAAGCACATGTGTAGCTATAAGCTAGTAAGTAGTCTCAGGAATTAAGTCATGCTCTCTCTTAAGAGCCTTGCTATGTTGCAGGTAGAATGCTCAGTCCCTTACAAGATCAAACCCTACTAGAGATAAGAGGTAATCATAACTTCTTTATTTTATACACATATCACATACATATACAAGCTACTTATGTTCTCTCTCTTCATCCTAGCTTCCTGAGATTATTTTTAGTATACCTTCCTGCAGAAATAACAACGCCATCTCAGTAAGCAGTGCAACTACTGAAGGCTTCTGCACTGTAAATCAATGCCCAGTGAACTCAGACAAGCAAGTACTTGACTTTTTAGGGTTCTCAAAACATCTGAATGCAGGAAGCAGTGGGGAGAGAAAAGCAGGTTCCATGAAGATGTAGGGCTTAGATACTCTTAGTTAGAACCAGAAATGTTGTGACCTTTCTCCCCAGTCCCATCCAACCTTATAGTAAAAAAAGAAAGATGTTAAGTGGAATGTATTAAGGTCCTATTTAAAAAGCAAGAGCTGAAATTGCCTAACATGGACTTAGTGATGAGTAGCATTATTAACTTGTTAGGTGAATTCTATCTACCCTACAGCTAATAACAGCTGCTACCCTACAGCTAATAACAGCATTAACGCAGATGTTTTGTGTTTTAAACCACCTGGGAACAGAGGACACTTTTACATGTACTTCAGGAGTGCGGGAGGGTGGGGTGGGAGGGGGCTGTGCTTTAAGAGCCGCTCCAAATAAAGTGCTGCAGCATCTCGTGTATCTGTGTCCCCCCCCACCTTCAAAATGGTGGTAGGGGAGCTTGAACTAAAGCTTGTTTGACAATTAATTAAGTATGCTCTGACACATAATTACAGCACATAGAGCAGCCCCCATGCTTGTGTGCAGGCACCCTGAGTGTCAGCAGCCTTCTAGATACAGTCCCCTTATAGACTTTTCACCAGCCTCTTTTCACCATACCATCTCCCTGCCTACGCATCTCTCTGCCTACATCTGCACCACAGATGACAAGAATCTACCCTTGTAGAAATCCATTAAAAATATAAACAATTGGTGGGCTTTGTGGGTTATAAAGGGATTCACACAGTGAAGCACAGAAGTCATTAAGTCCTCATATTATCATCTTTTTACTGAAAATACTCTGTTAAGGAAGATGCTTTGTTTAAGGAAGAATTATTTTATCTGATGACATTTCTGCCCTTCCCCCCTAAAACAGCACAGAACCATACCTAATTCACATCGTTCACAAGGGCTACCCCACGCAGCTCCTAATGTTGCACAGCATTCAGATTTCAGCGTAGCACCATTGATGTTCACTTCACAACGACCGTCTTGGATGTTCAGCCAGCATGTTCCCTTAAGACTATCTGCAGTGGATTAGAAAAAGAACAGGGAGCTCTCAGGTATTTACGTGCTATGTTTAATTAGGATTATGGGTTTATTATTATTAGCACAAATATAACTTAAATAATCCAAAAAATGTTCATAAAAATTGCTATAAGGCCAAACTGCAAATTCTGCTGTGCTCATGTAAACTCGGAGTAGCTCCAGCCAAAGCAGGAGTTCTAAGCTGACTAGGATCAAAATGTACAGTATCTGGCATTAAGTTTTGTGAATAGGTCTACATGTTCATATGTATTCTTTCTACACTACTTCACAAACACTGTAACATATACTAACTAATCATTTCAAACTGCACTGAAAGGTAAAGTCAATTTTAAAACAGCATTCAGAAAATGAAAATGTGCTATGGAAAAGATACCACTTGGTGTAAGCCCAGTGATTTCATTAGAATTACACTAGAAATAAATTTGTTGAGTAAGATTAAAAGACCAAATGCTACTTAGTCATATAGATTTGAAAGAGTTGAACTCTCACGGAAAGTCAGAGAGACTTAGGGCATGTCTCAATGCCATGCTACCATAAAAGAGCCTCCATTCTGTGCGTGCCAACTTTTGATAATAAGCAATGAAGTTGTTTTAGGGACTGGGCAGTCAGTGTCTCAGTACTCTGCAGTGCTACAAAAACGCAGCATTACAAGGATGCGCTCTAGTTATAAAGTCACCGCAAAGGCAGGTTCTCCAGCCATGGGGCAATAGGAGACTCCTTTCCTTCACCCTTCCCCACCTGCCCCAAGGCAGAGAGGGTATCTCCAGCTGATGCCTCATGGGCATGCCAGTGAGACATAGGGATTCTGCATTAGACAACAGGTGTGGAGGTTGGGGAGGCCAGCAACCATGCTCCTCTTGTGTTCTGTGGACTGCCGATAGGCATTGCTTCTGCCTGAGACAAAACACTCCTTGGAATTTATCCTTGGAATAAATAGGTCAAATTGTTCCCTGATGTAATCTCATTGCCTTAGAATTGCATCAGGAATTCATCTGATCCACTAATTTTAGTTTATCATATCTAGACACACACACACACACACACACACACACACACACACACACACAAATTGCCATCCAGTTTTAACTCATTGCTAAAATGCTAAAACAGAGAAAATGTATCCTTTATACCAAGAGTGAATTTACTTCCTGCTTTATTAGAAATTCTTTGTGAATAAAGCTAGCTTTTCCTGTGGCTAATTTTAATTTTATGAAGCCAACATGTCAAAGTAATACAGTGCAAAATGATTTCAAGTATACGATTATCAGGTGATTTTCTTCACATCGGCTGTATTTGAATCTTCCTGCCAAAGTCTGTTAGTCTTATCTTATTTCAGACTATGAGTTAATTTCCTTTATTTTCTATAGTCTTTGTTGTTCAGACAAAATTCGCAAAAGGGCAGTCACTGTGACTGGTGAGAAAGTTATTTATTACTGAGCATCAAAGCATTCTTCTGCCACTTGCATTTCTTTGATTCTGACCTGAATAAGAATATGTACATGCTACAGGCAGATGGCAACTTCCTGCTTTGTGTACTCTATGAGAATTTTACAAACTGTAACTCAGAACGGTATAACTAGTATTTCACAGAAAAAATGGAAGTTTTCCTACTGCAGTATAATTCCCCAAAAGAATATATCTTATCAGACAATATATCTTATTCCATTTTACAAACAATTTCACTATTCTCTTGACTCATTAGGTTATTCAATAGCATTCCAGTAAGCACTACAGTTCTCTTAAGTTGCACTCGTTTGTAAAAATTATTATGGTGAAGGGAAATGAAACAATATTTAAATATTTAAAAGCAGTAGTTTAAAACATAGTGGCCACATCTACATGTGATCTTTAATGCAAATTAACTTATTTTAATGCTTACTAAAGTGTCACGGAAAAAAACATGTTATTTAGTTAATGCATATTAAAACAGGCTAATGCACATTAAGTGTCACTTAACAGCCATGCTCCTTAGTTAATGTGCATTAAAACAGGCTAATGAGCATTTTCCTAGTACCTCACAATGGAGGTGCTAGATCTAATGTGCATTAACTAATGCACATGTAGACACGCCCACTGTTAGATAGAATGTTTATGAAAGGTGATGAATTTAGATTCCTTAGTGACTGAAGTCTTCTCTTTCTTCTCAGAATACTAGAACTAGGAGACGCTCAGTGAAAATCAGTAGGCGACAGGTTTACAACTAACAAGAGGAAGTACTTTTTATGCAATGCATAGTTAACATGTAGAATGCAATGCCACAGGAAGTGAAGGAGGCAGATGGCATAGCCAGGTTAAAAAAAAGGGACTGGATAAATTCATGGATGATAGCTTGGTTAATGGCTATTGAACAGAATGGTTGGAGATGTTTCCTCTGGAATCCCTAACTCAACAATGGTGGATGCCAGAGAGGATACTAAACAGGGGATATATCACTCTAGAGATGTCTGGTTCAGTGCTCTCCCTCTATAGCAGGGGTGGGGAAAATATGGCCCACAGAAGAACTTTGACTGGCCAATCGCAGGTCTCTAGGTCCTGCCTGGCCCAGGTATGCAGTGGAGCTGGGGTGGCTTCTTCTGATTGTTGCTGCCAGCCTTGGCCCCAGCCCCAGCCCTATGGAGACTGGTGGGGACCCACATGCACAACCCCAGCCCTGGCCTGCCCCACACCCGCTTCGGACCTCCCCTGGTTAGAGTGAATCAGCTCCAGACCATTCAGAACCCAAACCCCAGCCTACCCTGCACCCGCTCCAGACCGGCCCGCCCATGACAAGCAGCGGTGGTAGCAGCACCAGCCAGGCAGAAGCTGCTGCTGGGCATGGGGGAAAAGTGGCTGTTCTCCCTCATCATGGGCGGGCCCTTCTTGCTGTGGCCACCCAGAGCCTGTGCCCAAGCTGCTGTGCAACTCCTCTCCACCACCGTCACGGTTGCCTCCGGGCCACCCAGCAAGGCAGTGATGGTAGTGGGGACAAGCCATAGGGCAGCCCAGGTGCAGGCAACTGCAGCGAGAAGGGCCAAGCAGCGGTGAGGAGGAGGCAGTCACCTTTCCCCTGCACCCAGCAGCAGCTTCTGCCTGGCCGCCACCGTTCACTGTCGGCAGGCTGGTCCAAAGCAGGTGCAGAGCAGGCCAGGGCTGGGGTTGTGTACATGGGTTCTGGGCTGGTCTGGAGCTGGTTCGCTTTGGCCAGGGCAGGTGGGGAACAGGTATAGGGCAGGCTGAGGCTGGGAATGGGGCTGTGTGTTTGGGTCCCGGCTGGTCCAAAGCTGGTCCACTCTGGCTGGGGTGAGTCTAGAGCAGGCATGGGGTGGGCTGGGGCCAGGGGCCACTGTGCGCTAAAGCTGTTTCTGGGCACTGGTGGTGGCAGCAGTGGCAGGGAGGAGCTTTAGGCCCGTGGACTCCACATTTGATGAGCTGTCGCAAGGTAGGGGGTGCTGACCAGCCTGTAACAGCTCCCCAAAACTGGTTATGTGGCTCATGGGCCCAAATAATTGCTCACCCCTGATCTTTAGAGCATCTATGTGTACAATTACCCGTATACAATAAGCTCTGGCATAGCTCACACCAGAGTAAGCTGCTCCTGGGTACAGCATTTATATGTTGTTTCATAGTTGGCAGGGTCGGAAGGGACCTGAGCAGATCAAGTCTGACCCCCTGCCATGGCAGGAAAGAGTACTGGAGTTAAATGACCCCGGCAAGGTGTTCATCTAGCCTCCTCTTAAAGACCCCCAGGGTAGGAGCCAGCACCACTTCTCATGGAATTTGGTTCCAGATCCTAGCCGCCCTGACTGTGAAGTAGCACCTCCTGATATTTAGCCTGAATCTACCCTCTGCCAGCTTGTGACCATTATTCCTTGTCACTTCTGGTAGTGCTCGGGGGAACAGGGACTCCCCCAATGCCTGCTGGTCTCCCCTGACTAGTTTGTAAACAGCCAGTAGATCCCCTCTCAGCCTTCTCTTGTGGAGACTGAACAGGTTCAGGTCCCATAGCCTCTCCTCGTAGGACCTGCCCTGCTGCCCCCTGATCATGCAGGTGGCCCTCCTCTGGACCCTTTCCATGTTGTCCACATCCCTCCTGAAGTGCGGCACCCAGAACTGGATGCAGTACTCCAACTGCGGCCTGACCAGTGTCACATAGAGGGGGAGGATCATCTCCTTGGACCTGCTTGAGATGCATCTGTGGATGCATGACAAGATAGCATGACAAGGTACGGTTGGCCTTCCTGACCGTGTCCCCACACTGTCGACCCATTTCATTTTGGCATCAATAATGACTCCAAGGTCCTTTTCTGCCTCTGCACTGACGAGAAGGGAGTTCCCCAGCCTGTAGGTATGCTGCTGGTTCTTCCTCCCCAGGTGCAGTACCTTGTACTTGTCAGTGTTGAAACATTTCCTGTTCTCATCTGCCCACTCCTGTAACCTGTCTAGATCCGATTGCAGCCTATTTCTCCCTTCTAGAGTGCCCACTTCTCCCCACATCTTAGTGTCATCTGCAAATTTGAACAGGGTGCTTTTTACAACCCCGTCCAAGTCGCTGATGAAGATGTTGAACAGTGTGGGTCTGAGGACCGAGCCCTGCGGAACCCCACTGCCCACATCCCTCCAGGGATGGGTCGAATAAGACCCGTCCACCACCACTCTCTGGGTGTGGCCCTCCAGCCAACTAGTGACCCATTTGACTGTGTAGGTGTCGAAAAAACAGTCTCCTAGTTTTTTAATGAGAATGGGGTGAGAGACAGTGTCGAAGGCCTTCCTAAAGTCCAGAAAGACTACATCCACTGCTACACCTGTGTCTAAGGATTTTGTGACCTAGTCACAAAAGGCCACCAGGTTGGTCTGACAGGACCTGCCTCTAATAAACCCATGTTGATTGCCCCTAAGCATAATCTCCCCTGCTGGCCCCTCGCGGACATGCGTCAGGATAATTCTCTCAAAAAGCTTACCTAGGATTGAGGTAAGACTGACTGGCCTATAGTTTCCTGGGTCCTCCTTCCTCCCTTTTTTGAAAATAGGAACCACATTGTCCCTTTTCCAGTCCTCTGGCACCACGCCAGAGCACCATGAGTTCTTGTAGAGCCGTGCCAAGGGTTCCACAATGATCTCTGCTAATTTCCTCAGCACTCTGGGGTGGAGATCGTCAGGACCTGCTGATTTAAATACGTCCAGTCCCTCCAGAAGTTCCCTGACTAGGTCCTCACCGACCCTAGGCCTGGGTGCGCCTCCCTTGGGGCCTATGGGGGTCCCAGTGCGGGGGGGTGCCCCGGTCCCTGCTCAGAAAAATGGAGGCAAAGAAATTGTTAAATAGGTTAGCTTTGCTGTCTGGTGTGACAATCAGATTTCCTAGCATGTCCTGCAGAGGCCCCGCATTACCCGGTACCTTCTTTTTACCCCCTATGTATTTAAAAAAGAACTTCTTGTTGTCCTTGATCTGGGTAGCTAGTCCCAGTTCCATCTCTACCTTGGCCTTCCTGAACACCCCCCTACAGCCCCGAGCAACCGAGGTATAGTCCTCCCTGGTGATGGCCCCTCCCTTCCATGGGGTGTATGCCTCCTTTTTAGCTAACCTTGTGCCCGAGCTCCCAGCAATTTGGAGTGGCGAAGCAGCCTCTGGCTGGCAGTAGGTCAAGCAGTCAGCCCTGGGCTCTGGGTGGCAGCGTCAGGTGGCAGAGGGGCTCGCTGGGGCACAAGGGTGCTATTGTCTTGCCCCCTTTGATCCATGTTGGGATTACCTCCCTTTGGGCTTGGAGGATCGTCTCCTTAAGGAACAACCACTCTTCTTGGACACCCGACTCCTCTCCCCTCCGGGACCTCAGTGCCTCCCCAACTATTCTTCTTACCTCATTGAAATCCACCCTCCTGAAGCCCAGGGCTGCTGCCTTGCTGAAGGCCTTTGCCAACCTTGTGCCCGAGCTCCCAGCAATTTGGAGTGGCGAAGCAGCCTCTGGCTGGCAGTAGGTCAAGCAGTCAGCCCTGGGCTCTGGGTGGCAGCGTCAGGTGGCAGAGGGGCTCGCTGGGGCACAAGGGTGCTACAGTGTGGGGCTAGCCTGTAGGCAGTCCCCGCACTGTAGCACCCTTGTGCCCCAGCCAGCCCCGGTCACTGTCTACACGTGCACTGTGGCAGCGTAAATTACTCTGCCATAGGATAGTACCTGTTCTGGATGCTAATATGGGTGCCCATGTTGACAGTGATATGTTACTGTGGAGCTAATTAGTCAAGTTTGCAGTAAAGCACATGTACAGATGCACCCCATGAGAATCAAAGAAAACTAAAAGTTTCAATTCAAAACATTAAAAATGTTCCACCTCAACCCATCTCACAATATCCTTAACCGCACTGCACTATTAAGATGATAGTGGAAATTTGTGGGCACTTGAGGTAAATAAGGGTCTATCATCTTCCAAAGCCTTTAAAAATGTAGGAACAAATCCACTGATAAATATGCCTTGAAAACTCCAGTAGGTATGGTGAGGTCACCCTGCAATCAACTCTTTCAAAGCATGCTGCTAGTTCTAACCAAATCCAATCAACACCTGATTTACCAGATCATCATCAACTAAGGATACGTGTAACAACGTGTATTCCACAAATCATGCCAACACTTGTAACCAGGTAAGATTCAGGAAGATTCCAGATGAATTCAGAGGAAACCTTCCACGGCCTGAGCAAAGGAAAGGTACGATGTGGTATTAACTTTGTTATGATAGCTTCTTGGACAACAGCCATAGTTAAACTGATATCTTATCGTCTGGGAGAAAATAACCACCAGTGTTAATAATGGAACTGATACCTATTCACACTTCTCCCTAACTCTCTCTCACGGATAAGGGGCATAGCCTGTACCTCCTTCAGCCTACTCAGGGCTTGTATACATGAAAATAGCTTAAATACTGTCAAAGAAAGCGGCATATCTAGCTCTTAGTTTGTTACTGCTTCCAAGGAAACAGGCAAACTAGTCTGCATTCGATCAATCTAATCCACAAAGCAAGTAAAAAAGGCTTCACAGCCAACCCCGTGACAGTCTATTACTAAGTGCAAATTACTAGGACTCTTTTTGTTTGTTTGTTTTGATGTTACATTTAAAAATCAATGCTATCAATTTGATTAGTGCTAATTAAAAAAAAGAAAAAGAAAACACATAAAAAAAACCTACCAATGCAGATCAGTCCAGTAGAATCCAGCTTGCTGCCAGGTGAACACTCACAGTTGAAAGAACCAAGATTGTTTCTGCAGGCGCCATTGACACACGGGCTGCTTTCACATTCATTTATATCTATAATCCAGAAGGGAGAGATGCTGTTAGGACTGCTGTTTCTGGAAAATATTACGTTGTAGAAATGCTGCTGTGAACCATGATATACCAGCATGCATGCTTAACTTGGTTCATTTTTCCCTCCCCCCCCCTGCCCTTTTTTTTTTTGCTTTTATAGAACGTGAGGTACAGCACATGTAAGGGACGGCCATATGCATGTATATGTACATATATTCAAAGTGCTAATTAAATGGCTCTTTCCTATAAAGACAAAAGACTTCCACGAACTTGGACTAAAAGGTTTTCCAGAATCAATTATGATTGTCCTGCGAGAAATCAGAATCCCTTTTTTATGGAAAACAACACATTCCGAGCCACAATGTACTGTGCACAAACATAGGTTTTATTGTTTCTGTCATTTATGGCTCCATGAGGCTTTGGAAGTATTAAGAAAACCCTCTCAGAAACAAAATATTACAATGCTGGCCATAGTCCTGGAAAGTGCTCAAGAAATCAGACTAAAACTGTAATGCTGCAAATGGTATTCCTCTTCATCCCTTACTCTTTCTTCCTTTCACTCTTTGAGGTTTGTTTGCTTTTTAAGTCTGACTAAATGTAGAAATAGAGCCCCTGCTGATAATATTAGCATTTTTAGGGAAAAAAAATTAGTTAAAAAAAAACAAACCCTAGCAAATTCTTCTGAAGAACACTCATGGGTACATACCCATGTCTTCCTGCAGTTCACCAATTTCATTTTTTATTTGGATCCTAAATCAAATTAGAAATCCTAATTCAACTAGATAGTTCCTGTTGTGGGTCAGTTATGAAAGTTTTAGAGTGTACTTATGTTCTCAAGTAGTGACTAAGGCCAAGCTCATAAACTTAAATAGTCTGGCACAAATTAATTAAAAATGAAATGCAGGATCTATTAAAGCAGTAATAGCATCAATGGCTGCTTTTAAAGATAACACAAACTATTTAATTTATTTTGCAGAAGTAGTACCAAAGGTACCATTTCCCACTTCATGCATTACGTCATATCAAATCTTCAGTGCTCTTGACTTGTATGGGCTTCTGAAGTTGTAAGAACAAATATGCACATAAACCATTGACCAAATTGCATATGTATTATATTAAAATGATAGAAAATACCTAGAAAACATAAACCTTCAGAGACTTTGATATCTCCTATTACCCTCAAAAGAAAGTGCAGTTTTTAAGGGTCAAATCTCACAAATCTACGATGGGACTGTTCACCTAAATACATCGAGTAGGACTTGGTCCTTGTCAATTTTTAGGGAATAGCAGCATTCCTTCCTGCTACCATACAGAACTGTTGCTTCTGAGAATAAATGCAAGCTTCCTGTTCCCTGTTGTGATGCCACTGAATTCTTAAACATTAAATTAAATGCTAAATGATCCTCAGGATACAACTGACTTGGGAAGAATCTGCATATCCAGTGCCTTCTGCCATCTTACATTACATTGCAAGGCATTATTTAAAAATGAGCAGATATCATATCTGAGCCACCTTCTTAGGCTTAGGAAATGTACCACCTTCTTTTCAAAGGCATATGAGTGATCAACAGAACTGTTATATAAAAAATTCATATATAAAATTATATTAAAGGACATCTACATTGTAAAGTCAGCCACTGACAAGTTAGGAAAAAAACATTATGCCTGCCATTGCAACTTTAATTTGTTTCCTTTATGCACATGCATTATGATAAAATCTTTAATAATGTGATCAAAGGCAATATTTTTCCAAATATCATTCAGTGTACAAGATGGATGGAATTCACTGGAAAAAAAACCCTGTATTTTTGTTTCTTTCTCAATGTGGCATCCTCAACCTTATGTACTGCATTGCTCTGGAGACAGAAATATTAATTTTCTGAATGGACTTTGTGTCGTGTTCAACATTATTTTAACTGAGTGTTTCATAAGCATTTTCCCCAGTGGGAAATAATTTCCTCCATTGTACAGAAAGAGAACTAATGTATAGAGAAAGAGAGGTTAACGTAAAAAATTGTCTCTAATGGTTAATGCACAATGTGGTAAGATTACAGCTTAATTTTTCAGGATACAAAGAATTATATAAGCCCAAACATAAGCACAGTTTCTACTGATTTCAAGTGCAGCTGTGCATGCTTAGCAGTTCTACAAATACAACCACAGGGACTAAAGTCAAGTACCCAGGAAGGGAAGAACATACATTTAGGGCCATAACCTATTTCCCTTTCCCACACCTAAATGATACTTATGTAGCTATATAATTGCAGTTTTTGGCACTTCACATGGTTTCGGATTTGGCATAGCTCACTCAATGCTTCTCAACTTAGCATGCTCAACAGGCTTCATCATGGCCTGCTAGATGCTTATAGGGGAAGAAAATCACCTAGGCATAAGTGTAAGTTCCAAAATGTTAGTTGCAGAAGAATCAAAATTATTGGGTGTCAGATACTGGAGGGAGCTGGGGGGCAGAGGGTGGGAAGGGGGAGCAGTTTCCCACTTCATAGTTTCATAGTTTCATAGTTTCTAGGGTCCGAAGGGACCTGGGCAGATCATTTAGTCCGACCCCCTGCCATGGCG